GAATTTCCCAACTTTGACAAGCACATCCTCCATAACTCCAATAGGGTAGAGAATTGATCTATCTGCTAGTTGTAGAGCTATTGTAGTTGATTGCAGTCCCCCCACACCAAGATTTTTAAATAAAGAATGGGGCATGAGGTTGATACTAGCACCAAGATCACAAAGGGATCTTACCTCTACAATCTTGCCGATAGAACATGACACCGTGAAGCTTCCGGGGTCCTTCAATTTAGGCGGGAGTTTGTTTTGAAGGATAGCACTACATTCCTCCGTAAGGGCAATAGTAGAAAATTCCGCCAACTTCTTTTTATTTGAGAGGATGCCTTTCAAGAATTTGGCATAGGATGGAATTTCTGCTATAGCTTCGGAAAATGGAATGTTGATGCTCAATTTAGTAAAAATATCAAGAGATTTTCTATATTGAGCACCATCATTTTTTTCTTCAACCTTTGAGGATATGGAATGGGAGGAACATAATTAACCATGTTTCATGGTGGCATCATATGTTCCTCATTTTCATCTTCTTTTTGCTTTTTCGGGGTCTCCTCCTCTTTCGGCACTTTTGGGTCCTCCGTTGTCTTACCACTCTTTGTGGTAATGGCCATCACGTTTTCCCTTGGATTCATCTCCGTGGTTGTAGGGAATTTGCCTTGCTCCCTAGCACTTACTTTTTGGGCAAGTTGCCCCATTTGAACTTCAAGATTCCGAATGGATGCCTTGTTGTATTGCTCAATGGTGTCGATGCGTTTGTTGAACTTCATATTTTGATCTGTAAAAACGAAGATCCAACTTGGTGAATTGAGAGTGGATATTTCCAATGGATGCCTCCACTCTACTATGGTTTTCCTCATTTTGGGCTTTTATGCTTGCCATGCTCTTGGACATGAATTGCATCATATCCTCCATGGTGGTTTTCTTGGATTGCCCAAAATTTGGTGCTCCGGATTGAGGTTGTGAGGAACTAGCTTGTGGCTTCCAATTATTTCCTTGGTTCCACCTTTGTTGATTAGAAAAAATGTTGTTCCCCCGATTCCCATAAGAGTTCATATAATTTACCTCTTAAAGATGTTGAGATAAATCACCTTCCGGATTTGATATGCTTTCCACATTGGCTACTTGCTTGACTCCTCCCAATACGGCTTGTAGCGCCGTTTGGAATTTTTGCTCAATCTTTGATTCCATTTCTTCAAGCCTTTTGTTTATCTCCGTTGTGATAGAGATTTCATTGATCCCGACCACTTTGTAACCGCCTCCTTGAAGTTGAGGATTCGAGGCAATGGATTCAATGATTCAGAGTGCCTCAGTTTCATTCTTATTCCCAATGTAGCCCTCGGCTCGGTTGTCTACAATTGCTTAACAAGGTGCATTCAAACCATTGTAAAACATGTCAATTTGAAGATCAAGGGGAACGTAATGGTGTGGGCATTCCCTTAGCAATGATTTGAAACGCCGCCATGCATCTTGAAAGAGCTCACCATTTTGTTGTTTGAAATTGAAAATGCATTGTCTAAGCTCTTGAGTCATAGTGGACGTGTAGTATTTTGACATGAAGGCATTGTAAATACCTTCCCATGTTGTGTAGCTCGCTGAAGTTTGCTCTATGAACCATCCTCTTGCTGCCCTTTGAGAGTATAGGGGAAGCATTTGAGTTTGAGTTGATCCTCCGCCAAGCCATTTCTAGGGATTCCTTGAATAAATCCATAGAATTCGGTGATGAAGTTGAGTGGATTTTCCCCTAGTGAACCATGAAACTGAGGCATAGCGTTGAAATAGGTTTGCCTTAGTTCATAGTCCCTTGCTTCCTCACTCAAGGTGATGCAAGATGGCGTGGCGGCCACCACGGGTCTCTTCCTCTCGTTTAGTGTGGGCATCATCTTTGTGGCTTTTTGCTCCTTCCGGATGTGTTTGCAAGTTTTTTCTATTTCAAGATCGAGTGGTTCAAGAGATTTAGAACCTTGACTTCTCAAGTGCATGCAAATACAAAGGAATATCTACACACAAAGATAGACTTTTCCAAGATCAAGTGAAGTTGTGAAGAGTAAAATAAATTCAGGGTTTTTGAGTGATTGTTGTGTTTTTTTTCTTTGGACTTTATTAAACAAGACCGTTGACGCCCGTTTCTTCATCTTTTGACACCTTTGTGCGGTTTTTGCTCAAATTGGGATTTTTTTTACCTGTTTCTGCTTTACATATTCGTATAGATAATCAACATTACCTATATAAAATATAGGTAACTATCGTGCTTATCAACTGGAGTTATGTCATAGACGAGGGCGGCACAGAGGGACTGGAGCTATGCTTGTGCGTTGAGATGCACGAACACACGATCGATATGGAGGGAGGAGTTTGTGATTTCAATTTCAGGAGCATTTTAGGTGTTTTAGTTTTTATTTAGTCTCTTTTTTGTCATATTTAAGAAGTGATCATGTTTTTGTCTATTAGTAACCCTATGGTATTATTTTGGTCATTCTTTCTTTATTTTAACAAAGTTAGCTAAGTGACAATTAAATATTTTTACTTTGTTAAACTCGTGTGGCTTTTGCTTGCACTTAAAATACTTAACACACTCGTTTTAAAACTTTAACGGCTCAATCATATTATATAGGCTAATATTACTGACTAGTGACCAAATCACACGTTTCGGATCCTCAGCCATCTTCCTCAATGCAAAAACGTGAACGATGCATATGTGACATGAGAGATAGCCAATTAAAATACAATAAATAAAATCTCTCTCCTTAGTTGAACGGTCTTATTGTTTTTGGAAAGTTTTTCTTCATAATGTGAAGCACAATGTCTAGATGTAGACATTGTGACTCACATTGTTGAGAAAAACTTATCAAAAACACATAAGACCGTGGAAAGAAAGAGAGAGAAATGTCATAAACTTAATCTTTTGGGTATATGTCTCTCATGCCACATGTGCACCGTGCACATTATAGCATTGGAGATGCTCTTATCGTCTACCATTTACTGTTTCATTAATTTCTCAATTATAGCTATCCCAAGCTCTAGCTTCTCCCCACACGTGATCCTCTGATTTGATCTGGAGCTTTTGATTTTGGATGTTTTCTTTCTTCTTTAATTTGCTAGGTTGGTATGATCTAGTATGGTCTGGTCTGTTTAAGTCTAGTCTGGTCTGGTCTGTTTAAGTCCGGTCTTGTGTGATTTAGTAAATGTCCGGTCTTTGTGTATTTTATAACTACAGAAGTCTGGTGTGGTCTAGTCTGTTCAAGTCTGGTCTGGTCTGGGACTGAAAATAGTCCAAGTAAAAACATCCTTTGTAAGTTGAATTGCGCTTCTGATTTGTTCGACAAAAGAGATTCCAGAACGCCGAACAAGTGGAGCAATATCATCATGTCCTTTTGATTTATTGTCCTACTATTGGGAATGGATTTGGACATTTGTATGCATTTTTTATACTTACAAGCAAAGCACAAAAACATACAACTAACAAATTTAACAACTAAAATCAAATATGAAAACTTTAAAATTTAAAACTCTAACCTTTCTTTCGAGCATTCTCATTTAGAGTACATTGAAGGGATCGCATCAATAGCAAAGATAAAATTGTTGTAGAATGAGAAAATATGAAGTATATATATTAAGATGGATATACCGATAATAATTTTTAAATAATCTTCTTAATTTGAAGATTTCTGAATGAATTTACAAGAGTTCATCAAGTCCCTATTTATAGTGGTTTAGCGTGATGATGAGTCATATATCTAATGTATGGATCTAAATATTTGGTGTCAATAATGAATTGAACAATCTGTGTAATTAGGTTTCAAGGATTAAACATGTATTTCTGGATTGATTGCAAGGATGAACAATTCACATTTGTTGTGTCCAAGATTTTACAACACTCTCACTTGAATTTTCATACTTAAATAGATATTTGTTATTCTAAAACTTATTATGCAAAACTAAGTGCGAAAAGCTAGAGATAAGGGGGAAGGAATACAACTTATAGTTTTGTTGTATTTGGATGTATCATGTCATTAAAAATCTTATCAAGAAAAATCCATTGGGATAATAACCTAATGAAGGAAAAAAGAGTGCAGTGCATTCAAATTCTCTCCATAAACTTAGTATACATCTTGAAGATGATATATGTCTATTGTGTGACACTGTGCCCGAACGTACTTGAAACTATGATTTAAAATTCAAAGTTGATGTATTGAATTCCCTATTACCAACCACGTGTAAAGCGATTAATGTTTTATAATGAATGTTTTATCAAACTATCGTTTGGACCCGTATTACAAGGGTGAGTTTCCAAATACTTAATTGGGCCATCCTATTAGATATAAGAGCCCAATACAATATAAAGAAACATTCATAACATTTCTATACCAAGTAAGGTTGGGCAGCCTAAGTGTTACTTTGGGTCCAACTTGCTAAAAATAGCAAGTTTGATGGAAAGGGATATCCTAGAACTATTTGAGGGTATCCCACACCTATTATAGACTCCAAAAAAATATTAGGAGGACAACAATAATTGATATATACGAATAAAGGGGTGGGGGAACCCCTAGAGACAAAAACAAACTTCTATGGTCTCATCTTTAACATTATGGAGCTAAATTAAAGGGTAAGTTTCTTTCCCTATTTTTGTGCATCATATAAATTATTGGGATCATCCTACACCTATTAGAGACCCATAATATGATGTAAGAGTTGACTTTGTCTAAAGAAATTCAAATGAGTACAAAAAGACATCACATGACAAAAGTACAAAACAATAGGACTCAATTCTTCCATCTTTGAAAGTATTGGTAGATATTTTCCTACCAAATTGATTGGGACCAATGAGGGTGTGTCCCATACCTCCTTGACACCTTCAAGACAAAGAAACATGGGTGAGAAGACTACTTGGGGCAGACCATTAATAGGAGGTGGCTGATTGAGACTCAAATATCAAGGGCATGGACCCCATGCATCCTCACATAATTGGTCAGATGTGTTCGGAAATCATCCACATACCACTCATACCAATCCACACAACTTATCCAACCTTATTGAGAGGTCTTACATCATTCCCACAACCTCTCATTCGAACTCACAGTTGCTTGAGAAGAAGATATATACACACAACACAAAAAGAGAGGCGGAGAGGACTGCTAGCCGCACAGTTGCAATTTTTGGATTGTTCACTTCATATCTCAAGCATCACTTACCTAAATTGGGCGTGTGAGGTGTCTAAAGAAAGCTCTCAAGAAGAGGATTCTGTGAAAATGAAGGTTGCTATGAAAGGTGTAGTGGAAGGTCTCCAAATTGGCGTAGAGAAACACAAACTCGCAAAATGGTTTTTCTTCTTTAAAGTAAGTTTGAACCTAGAAGCCTATTTTTCATTAGCTAAATCATATGAACGATTGAGGAGACTATTCTACACTATTATAAGTTTAGAATATGTTCTTGACAGTGTTATTTTATTGATTTAAAGGTTAGATATTAACCTAGAATGAACCTTGAAAGGTTATGAAGCAAACTCGCCGGAAAACACCCCTTTTAGGGACTGTTTTCATACTGTTGGTTAGGGGACGATCTAGCACTTTAGAGAGGCTGCCTAGCATCCATTTTTAATCAAGGAATCAGTTCTCAACTTTCCTTGGCCGAAGTTTTGATCATTGGATTGAAAGAAGGCAGTTTGGAGCTCAATTAAGATTATGATTGACATCTAGTTTCTTACAACTTGTAGGTTAAGCATGAAATTACCTAAACGTCTAAATCATGTTTTCAGGGATTATGATGCTTAAATATTGATAAAATATGGATCTAATTGGTAAGTAATGAACTTGATATGATTTGTGACCATATTGATAATATGGGGTTAAATGAGCTATTAATGGACTATTATGTTAAAATAGACATTTTTAATCATGTATGAATTATATAGATATATAAATGAATATTTATATATTGAAATTGGATATTTAGGTTGCTGCCACACATATGAATATTTGATTTGGTAAGAATAACCTTAATAGTATTGAGATACTAGTGAATGATTGTTTGTAATTGTTGGTAGAATTGATCCTGAGGTTTGAATTGTATGTGATGCACTTGAATATAATTCAAGCTATAGACAGTCCTTAAGGATGACCCAAAGTGGTTTATTGATACGACAATTCTAGGCATATGATTTTCTTAGGAATTGGGCTTTGAATTGCGTGGTGATATAATTGAGCCTAGCTCTAGTAATGCATGGTGAGAAAATAGACTTATGTTTATGATTTGTATGATGTTGAGCTAGAGCCGAGCTCTATGATTGCATGGTGATGTACTAGATCCAAACTCTATGAATGGAAGATAAGGTACTAGGGTTGAACTTTATGATTGTTGTGACTAGTTGTCACAGGGAATAGGGAAGGTGGTTTCAAAATGAACATGATCATACGGGTCGACCACTTAACTTTATATAAAATAAGTCTATTTTCAAACGGAGTAACTTGGGGTTACGACCTAGATTATACTATCACCCTATTTGAGGGTCTTGTGTTTGAAATAGTTGTTGTATATCTATTAGATGTCATCAACACCGGTACTTTATAGTTTCGGTAAAGTACTGACCCCTTCGGGGGGCAGTACTAGCTGCTCCCTATTCAATTATGTTGGCCTGTGTATATCCTCAAGGAGACATTTTCCCTTGATGTCATGAATCTGAAATCGCCCCAAATTCTCAGCTTCGTTGTAACTCCTCAGTATGGCAACTGAATCAACAATGGTAGCTTTCCCCTTGTTATGAATGACATCGTTTCTCAGATGCCAGCTTGTCCAAAAAATGAGCAGTAGCAGGGGCGGAGCCTGGCCCCAGCCCAGCCTAAATTTAAAATATGTTCATATTTTTAGTGTAAAAAATTCTGTGTAAAAATTTTTCTAGATATATTCTTTGTACCGGCCCAGTGCTCTGGCTTCGACCCTGAGTAGTAGGTTGGCCTTCATCCGTTCATCCACAGAATTGAGTAGAACAAGCTGTCAGTCCGACCCAGTGTACTCTAGCTTCCTCTCTAACGACAATGCCCGGTGCTTAAGCATCTCCGGCCTTAAAGCTCTAGCTTTTGTGCAGGTTACCACAACATGGTGACCATCCTCTCTACCTTGGCCACATAATCGACACACATTGCTAGTCTCCAAGTTTCTTCTCCATTTACACATCATTGTGGGTAAAGAGACTCATGGGCTATTCTCCACGCAAACAATCTCACTTTTGGTTGGACTTTCATGTTCCACAGAGCTTTCCAGATCACTGGTCCGCCATCAGGGATTGTGTTAGCTGATTACTCTCCTTTGCTTAAATCTGAGAGCTGCAATGCTAGATTGTAAGCACTTTTCACTGTAAACACCCCGTTCTTCTCAAAGTGCCACACCAGATAATTCTCCACCTCCCATTGATGTATTTTAATTTTAAGGACAACATTAGCATCCTCCGGTTGCATCAGATGTCGGACTAGCCGTTCATTCCAAGCTTTTTCACCTTGATTCCACAATTCCTTCATGAAGGTTGTCCGGTTCCAATTCCGTTTTCAGATTTGTGTAAGCTTCCAAATTTTAATACATTGACCATTTCTCACACATCAAATAACACCTTTCTTTCAAAGCTCCAGTCCATATACGATTCCATTCCATGAAGGGGATGATTGTTCTTGATTTTGTTGATAGCCAATAACGAATCTGATTCAACCTCGAAAGACTCCCAAGATTGGCCTTCCAGCCAGCTCAATGCTTCCTAGATACCTAAAAGTTCAATTTCCAAAGGAGCACAACAACCTCTCAATTTCCAAAGGAGCATCGATATTTACCTTCATCAAACCCAAAGTCGGTCTGCACCATCCATAATTGCCCTCCACTAAGCTTGCCCTTACCTTGATCCCATTATGTTGTGTCGTCCTCCAACCTTCAACAAAAGCCTTAGCTCCATACATAAACTGGTTGGGAGCAAGACTTTCCCCTTTCCAGATCCTTCTGTTGTGTTCTGCCCCTAAGCCCCAGCACCCCAAGCAACAGTACAGCCAGCAACGACCAACCAACTGAGCGCCAGGCCTCCCTCGCAATCGGGCATTTTACAAACTGGGCATTGTACATGGACATGTATATATATCACAAATTGTGCATATTATTTTGCGTAAAAGTACATATAGTACACACTTATTCATCCAAACAGAATAAAAGGGAAACAAAGAAAAGTGCATCAAATGTGAGGGCTAATATTTTATTTTGTACTCCCTCCGTCCCTAATCTTTCTCCCTTTTGGGCTGAGCACATTTATTAAGATAGTGGGATTTGTGTGGTGAAGACTTGTGCAGAGGAGAGAGAAATGTGTAAGAATGGTTGTGAACCACAAATTTTTTGCTAAAAGGGGGAAGAGGAGATAATTTTGGGACGGACGAAAAAGGAAAGTTTGAAGATAATCTAGGGACGAAGGGAGTAGTATTTTGATCTGTGCCAAAAGCATCATCTGCTTTTGTATAACACCACTAGATGAATAGCAGTACGACTGTTATATGTCCAATGTCCCGTCATACCACAGTAATAACTACTGTCTCCGTCCCGAATTGAATTATAAACTTTTACCGGTACAAGGATTAAGAAATGACAATAAATGATGCTTAATTTTTACACTTTTGCTCATCTTTCTAAAAGTAGATGTCTTTAATTTAATGGGGAAAAAGTAAAAGTAAGGGTAAATTTGTCACTTTATTCTTATTTACATACCTATAATAGAAAGTGGAAAACCATTTTGGGACAACCAAAAAAGGAAATTTTGCAAATCAAATTGGGACGGAGGGAGTAGTTATTTTTTCCTAGAATTTTATAGAGGAATTTTTTAAATGGGCTTTTTATTTGCTCTTATCTTTGTAGTTTGGTTTGGTGACCTGTTTACATACTCGTTTGAGCTTGTTATTATGATCACTAAAATCCATGAAATACCTTTGAATGTCACTGTGTGTTGCATTTGATTAAGTGGCTAAATCGGTATCCTCACTCGTGATTGCACGAGATGTAATTCTCAAATCATACATATGTGTACATGTGAGTTTATAAGCAAACTAGTAATTTTCATCTTCTTTTTTACAATCAATAGTTTAATTGATAATTAATTCTCACTGTATCTAAACATTTCTATATTGAATTGTTATTGAACGGTGTTATTAGGCCCTTTTTTGAACGGTGCCAGGTGTATTCACAATCGTTGAATAATACTACCTTTGTCCCGCTATGATTGTCCCATTTTACATTATCGGTCCGTCCTACTAAGATTGTCTCATACCAAATTTGGTAAAGTTTGTGTGGCTCTAAATCATTCTTACTTTATTCTTACTTTATCAATTCAATATCAACTACATAAATCACTTTTTATTGATTTGCGTGTCACCCTCTCTTGTCCCATTGTTAGCGGGACGGAGGGAGTATGAAATTACCTCATAGAGTAAAATAATATCCAAATTGAATACTATGAAATTAAATGTTTAAATTAATATACGAAGTAGGGGTTAAGTTGTATAGAGTCCGGTTTTAATAAAAAGTGGTCTTCCCATGAGAAATGTGAACGTCTCCACTTTTGATCATATGAGGTGCACTATTTACCCTGATGATTTTCTTCGTCCACTTTTTCTTATCCAGGGTACACTTTTGCACACAGGAAGTCCACTTTTTGTAAAGAAGAAAAACTTTGACTTATTTTCAAAAATGGCACCACGTTTTTAACCCATTTTAATACATTTTTAACATATTTAGAGCAATTAGATCTTAGATTCGATGCACCCGATTTGTTCCTACTTTTCATGGAAAGGGCCTTTTTTAATTGATCCAATATATGTATATATACCATCACAAATTTAAGTAATGTTTCTAAAACCTGAAAAATACAATTTTCATCGTTTATCAGTCTTGCTTTATCTCTTGTCTACTACTCTCTTTCCTCTTGCTTCTACAATCTACACACAAATCACCAACAAGAATAGTCAGAGAAACTCCTAATTTATCTTACTATATACAAAAGGAGGAGAAAAAATAGTCATTTTCCCGCCCAAAAATACGGGTCGAAGGTGGGTCAAAATGGGTCAAGTTACAATCATCATTCCAGTTTGTTCTGCTGGCAGTCGCTACAGCCTACAAGTCTAAAGTATTGGTTGCTGTAAAGCTACGACCTATAGGTCTATGGTATTGAGATTCGTAAAGATGTATTGGATAGGACATCTCATATTGGCATTTAATCCTCTCCTTAATAGCACTACAATTCCACCCAAAAAATTTCCGCTCACCTAAACTTTTCATAACACCCGTCCGATTCTCATAAACTAAATCAACTGCTTCTACCTTTCACATTCATTTTGTTTCTCTTTCGATCAGTGCCTTCTACGGAGATCTACCCTTTCTCAAAAATCCTCTCCTTAATAGAACTACAATTCCACCCAAAAAATTCTCCCTCACCTAAACTTTTCATAACACTCGTCTCATTCTCATAAACTAAATCAACTGCTTCTACCTTTCACATTCATTTTGTTTCTCTTTCGATCAGTGCCTTCTACGGAGATCTACCCTTCCTAAAAAATCCTCTCCTTAATAGCACTACAATTCCACCCAAAAAATTCCCGCTCACCTAAACTTTTCATAACACCCGTCCGATTCTCATAAACTAAATCAACTACTTCTACCTTTCACATTCATTTTGTTTCTCTTTCGATCAGTGCCTTCTACGGAGATCTACCCTTTCTCAAAAATCCTCTCCTTAATAGCACTACAATTGCACCCAAAAAATTCCCCCTCACCTAAACTTTTCATAACACCCGTCTGATTCTCATAAACTAAATCAACTGCTTCTACCTTTCACATTCATTTTGTTTGTCTTTCGATCAGTGCCTTCTACGGAGATCTACCCTTCCTAAAAAATAGACGGAATCATCTGCTTGGAAATCATCGAAAAATAGATGGATATTCATCTAGCTGAAATCATCTCCGCAGATCAGCCAAAAAAGAAATGGATATTCCTTCATTCAGATGCATTCTTCTTTCTTCATCTTCCTGAATCCTCTTAGCCGAAAGCATATTGGCCGAAGTCCATCCGATTCAAACTGAGATCGAGGTAAGTTATTCTTCTAAATCATATACTCCTTTTTTTTATTTTAAATTGATATCCAACTTGGAATTCTTAGGTTTATATAACTTAGAAGATTGTTTCAGATTTTGCAAGGAAGGTGTTTGTTAAAATTTCTCAATCACGTATCACTTTCTACAATTATATTTTTCATCCTTGCTATTGTATATTGACATTTGGTAATATAATTGTTGTTTTCTTCATTTTTGTATGGTGAAATTATTAGGTAAAACTAATCATTGCTCCATCTGGTGGATTTGCAATTGACTCCTCCCTCGGGTGAGTAAAGGAATTGAACATTGCTATGTCCTTAGGGTTAGATGTCCTTTCATCCTCTTTTTGAATGTCATATTTTTCTTCTATCTTCCATTTTCCTATTTCGTTTATTTTGTAATTGACATCATTTTTCAGTTTTAGTTTTCTGAAACTGGTTCTTTGACATTTCACAATTTACTTAAACATCATTACAATTTTCCATTTTCCTAATATGTTTTGGGGAATGGCATTTTTCATTGGTGGGTGATAAATTGCTCCTCACTAAAGTCTTCACTTTTAAGCTTCCCTTTGGTATATAGGGTTTCATTTAATATCTATCTTAGCTTTCTCTCATTAGAGAACTTCGAGCACATACTTTTAAATTTTGAATGATGTCTGAAACAAACAGTAGTGAGAAGTTCCTTATACTCGGGTTTAGTCTTTCTCTAAGAGATGTGAGTTTTCAGGCCTTTCATGTTTCGGTAGACAATTACCTTTAATAGAAAGCTTTGCGATGTTAATGATCGTAAAGGGAAATTGTTGGAAATCATGGGTGTTTGATGGTGACATTCCTTTTTACGCATAAATCGTTGTACGTTGCAATTTTGAAATCCAATAAAAATATATGGTTTAAAGTTCATGATACACGATGACTAAGGAAATCCAAAAAAGTTACTACCTCTGGGCTCCGTCCCCCCTAATATTAGGACAGAAGAAAGTGGCGTGGTTTTTAAGAAAAGTAAAATTATGTGATTTATAATGAGTTGATAAAGTGAGAATAAAATAAGAATGAATTAAAGTCACACAAATGTTACCAAATATGGTATGAGACAATAATAAAGGGGACATCCAGAAATGAAAAAATGGGACAACTATAGAGGACGAACGGAGTATAATTTATAAAAAGGCATTGTTCACTATGCAGTCTTCAATAATTAATAGTGTGTTTATTAAAATTCTAATAATATTTATTTATAATTACTATCTGTGATAAATAATATTATAATTTTTGAACACATCTACAATATTTGCTTATTACATCCCGTGCAACGCACGGGTGAAATACTAGTGTACTCTATAATACATTCCGTATAAGATATACTACCTCCGTCTTGCTATGATTGTCTCATTTTACCTTATCGGTCTGTCCCACTAAGATTGTCTCATACCAAATTTGGTAAAGTTTGTGTGGCTCTAAATCATTCTTATTTTATTCTTACTTTGTCAATTCAATATCAACCACATAAACCACTTTTTATTAATTTGTGTGTCACTCCCTCTTGCCCCATTGTTAGCGGGACGGAGGGAGTATCTATTATTATCTAAAAGCAAAATGTTTTTGGCGGTGGAGTTCCCGCTCAAAACTATCAACATCAATTTAGACTACTTAATAAGTTGCAAAAAATTGTGAAAATAAAGATGTATTCATGAGTTTTCAATGGTGGAATAATTTTATGCGTATATATTTCGTATAGAGATTTCCTATAGATATAGTGATGATGTTGATTACACATGCCCATGCTGACGGGATATGTACAGTGATGTTGATTACACATGGTCACATATTCAAATGCCCATGCTTAGGAATAATATACGAACGGTGATGTTGTTTTAAAAAGACAAACATCTTGAGAAAGATTTACAAAGCCCATGCTAACCAACCATTCCAGCTCACTGGGTGGAAGGTTACCGTGTCCTAGCGGAGGTCTCGGGTTCGAATCCCGCTAGGCACATTTAGGGGAGAGGAGGGAGGTCTTGCTCCCAATGATTCTTCCTACCTTTACGGAGTTGCTCAGCGACTGAGAAGGGAGAGGATGGTAATGAAGGTAGCGGGTTCGTGTGGTGGGAGGAGCAGCCTGAAAGGTGATGTAAGTCCTGCTGGATTCGTCCTTTGGAGCCAGTACTGACGAGGCTGACTGTGATCAGATCCGGACTTAACTGTCTAGGGGCTTTGGAGGGTAGTTCATAGACTCCAGGATTATGAGAGCGTAAGCTCCGACACCTGGATTATCAAAAAAAAAAATACAAAGCCCATGCTTTGGAGTCTGGGAGATGACGTGCAACTTTGGAGAAAAAGATGAGCTACTACATATAAAAATGAATATTTTATGCGTGTAGTTTACTCATTCAACTTTTTAGGTAACATACAGTAGTCGCAAGTTACCCATACAACATTACGTCTGTTTTTAGGCAACCATATTCTTGAATGCAAAATTTGGCTATAAAAGCATACTTCTATCATGGATTCCTCACACTTGCTCGCTGCACAAAGCTCTCATTGCAAACTCTAGAGTTTTTTTCTCAACCATTTTACTCCTGTAAAAAATAAAAGAAAACAGTGATTGTGTTACTCAAAAATCATTTGTGGGGAAATTGATTACAAAGAAGTTTATTGTATGAACAATAGTCTTTATACTTTGAATGTAGAAACAGTCTTTATACCTTGGTTTGTGCGAGTGTGTGTGAATGTGAGTTAAGTATTCAAAACAAAAGTGTGTGAAGTATTCATTTTCCCAATTGATTCCATATGACACTGCGCATATTCAAAGATTTATATAGTGAACCACTTTTTTTAATTCAAATGTTTCAAAGATTTCGTGTAAACTGTTTTGTTGGGTGATGTGATTTTAAACAACAAGAATCACCTAAGGGGGGGAATGCAAAAGAGAGAGATCTATTTGTCATTAGAAATTATAAATAAGAAAGAAGGATAAAAATAAAATTCCCCTATGTTGCTTTGTGGTTTGAAAATCAGCTAGAATAAAATTCAATGAAATGTTTTTCTTCCATTCATCATTAAATGTCATCTCTCAGTCTCTCGCATACCAAAGTAAAGTTCAAAGAAGTGCCACATTTATTTAGGGATATTGAAGTGTTATTGATAGAATATAAATTCTTAGAGAGAAGTGAGAGCTAGAGAGAGAATGCAATTAATATTTCTCAACCCCCCACAACTACTCCTAAGGGGAGTATTTATAGAGAAAATATGGGTTGGGACTCCCAAGTCTTGGGCTTGGGAGGCCCATTACAAGATAAAGTCTCTACTGGGCTGGATAAAAGCTTTATTTCGACTAAGTATTAGATCTATCTCTGCCTTGGTCTCGTTGGACGACGGAGGACTAGGCCGACGGAGGGCCTGACCAACGGAGTACCAACGTTTTCTCCTGGGCTTCTGGACCATATTCTGGGTTGGTGGGTGTTTGGCTGATGGATGACCATCTGACCGATGGAGGACCGCATAGGTGCCAGTTGTGTTCGTTTGTCTTCTGAGTATGTGGGTCATGGGGTCTGGGCCCATGGACTCTATTAGGAGCCCCCACTCTCTGAACTGATATGCAAACGAAGTGAAAGGGAGTAAATCATTTTTGTCTTGATGCTTCTGGCCAGTGTTAGACCACACGTAGTTTGATATTGTGTTGTTTTGCTCTTTCCTTGCGCTTGGCTGTTGCGTGGCTAGTTGCTTTCTTTTGTTGAGGTCATTGGTGTTCGTTTAGCGGCCGATGAATGTTCTTATGCATCCGTTGTAGATCCCTTGTTTTGTTCTTGTGGACGATGAGTGTCGTTGCTTTGAGGACGATGTATGTCCGCTATTATGGGGACGATGTTTGTCCATTGTTCTTTGATTTCTTGTTTCTGTGTATCAGCTTTAGCCAGAGATGAACCACATGCATGTGGACGTTGTGATGTCAATGTTGTGGTTTCTGGGGATGGACCAAATGTTTGTGGACGTTGTGATGCCATTGCCGCATATTTGTTTTCCTTTGTCTTTTGGATTTGCTTCTTTTCTAGAGTGTTTCACATATTTGGAGGCCGATGCAATCCCCCAGTCCCCCACTCCTTCATGCCGAAGAGCATGCTAGGTGTGAAGGAGTAGAATAGTATCCCAGGCCAAAGCGGAACCCTCGCATTCCTCATGAAGCCAAGCTCTTGGCGATCCCTAACCAATGTAACCCTGTGGGAGAACCCTTGAACGAATGTCACAGGCCAGAGGCTATCATCGATGGGTTCTGTACGAGGGGCGGATGGCTTTTGGATCTTACCTTATTATAGTTTGTGGCCATTGAAGTGTCACTTGTGGCTATTGAGTTTGTTTATCGTGTTCATGGCCATTGTGTGGCACGCTGTATGTGGCTGATCTGGCCGGAGTGGGTGTGCTTTCTTGAGAATTTGAAAGGTTAGCACCTGATTGGTCTCGGGGGAGGCGAGCGTTGGTGTAACCATTGGGAATGTGCCATGTGTAGTGACCGTTGGAGGAAACGTCTATAAGTACCCCCCCAACTCCGAAGCACTTCACTCATTTGCATCTTGCTGAATCACGAAGTGCTGCTGAATTTTCAAGAGAGATAAAGCTTCCTTCAAATCTTCAAAGTGTTCTTCAATGTCTAAGGTTAGTTCTTGCTTAGTTCATCGTATCTCTTATATACTTTGCATCCCTGAAGGTTAGATCTAGTGTTCGTAAGAGAACATACTTAGATCTAAACGAAACAACCTTAGGAATTTTATAGTTATTATGGTACCTATTGACGGCCGAAGCATGCCCTCCGACGTTGATCTGACAGCTTCTTTAGACGAAGAGCATTACCCCTTCGACGAGGAAGACACTTCCCCGCGTGTTAAGCTTAACACGGAAGAGGATTTTATCGAGGAGATGGAGGACACTAGTGACTACCGTACTGAGGACGACGAAGGGTGTCGCAGTGGTGAAGCTTGCTCAACATCGTCTGGCGAGGACAAGGGTGATTCAGGTTCCCCACTCAAAGGGGATGGAGCATCGTCGTCGTCTGCTATCCCATGTCCTCCTCCTCTATCTGCAATTCATGGAGATGCTCCAAGGAAAATGTGTCGGCGTCGGACGAGGAAGGGTTTGGGTCCAAGGCTCTCTCAGCTGGACCTTACCAACCTACATCATCCAGCCGCAAAGTTCGACGGATGAGTATCACGTTGCTCAAATGTGCGTGGGGTCGTATGATCGGGTTAGGGCACCCAAGCCGATGGACCACGTCCTTAGTCCACCTGTGGGGTATTTCGGAATATACCCCATGAGTTTCGCCAAAGGGCTCCGAGTTCCCCTTCATCCATTCATCACATTCATCACAGAGTACCTGATTATGGTGGGTCTCTCTCCATCCTTGTTACCTCCGAACAGTTATTCTTTGATCGTCGGGTTCTTGATCCGGTGATCGCAGCTTAACTTTAGGCCGACGTCGGCTTTGTTCATGAACCTCTACCACATAGGCCGAGGCAGCCACAAGAATTGTGCCGGCTATACTAACCTTCAGCAGATAAAGAATAAGAGATATTTCAAGGACCTCCCCTCGTCCATGCACGGCTGGAAATCAAAATTTGTGTTTGTGAACTTGGGTGAGGGTGGATTTTTCCCTTTGGTGAATCACTCGGGGTTTTTCCATTTACACGAGCCGCCGAAGAATGCCTCTATCGACGCCCAAGTAGCTAAGTTCCTTGAGAACGGGCCGAGGAGTGTCAAGAGTTATACTCCCTCCGGTCCTAAATAAAGTTCAGTGTTTGACTTCACACAAATTAAGGAAATAAATTTGACTTTACCGTAGAGTACACTGTTGTGACATTGTTTGGCACTGTTTGACAATGTTTGGCACCGTTTGGCACTGTTTTGCACTCTTTTGATGTAGATAATTTGCCAAATAAGGAAGGGAGAAGAAGTGTGAACTTTATTTAGGACCGGCCCAAAAAGGAAAGTGTGAACTTTATTTAGGACCGGGGGGAGTATTACGGAGTACAAGATGGACGCCATCGGCTTCGTTAGGTACTTCATCCCAGGGGATCCAGATTACGGATGGCAATGGAGGTGGGGGGCCGTGGGGAACTGCCCCGTGGGGGAGTTGGGGCGGGTGGTGGGGTGGAGCGGGTATGGGGATGGGGGAACTATTTCCTCTCCGCTTAAATATGGGACGGGTGATGGGTTATGCATCCCCGCACCGTCTTCGACCCGTCCCCCGTATATATACACATATTAATATTTAATAATAATAATCACAATCATAATTATAATGCTAATAATAATACTAATACGAAGTAATTGAAATAGCATGGTGGCCCAGTGGTTTTAATTGTTTCCTATCCAATGGGTTGTGCCTAATTGGTCTATCTAATTCTTCTTTAATAACTCAGCTATCTTGTAAAATTGGTTATCAAAATCATATAAAGTAAAATGAATTTGGAAAAGTTATGTAGTGATATTAGCTTAAACGCCTCAGGCACAATGTGAATGTTTTCTTCTTTTACTATTATAGTGCATTAATTCTTTTCTTATGAATGCCATCTTTATGATTGTAGTTAGTGCTCTTAAAAATCTGGTGACCATAGGTCGTCCTAGATGTTGTCAATGACCATGGTTGATTGAATGTAGGGCTTAAGAATTTTTTTACCCCGAAAGGCAAACCACCAAAATCAGTAGGGTAAATGTCGGGGGAAATTTACCATGTTTTATTAATAAAGTAAGAAGAGGTACAGAAAGAATGGGGGACTAGGCCAAAACCCCTCCATAAAAACAAAACTCCAAGACAGTAATTCAAACAAGAATAAAAAACAAACAGTTGGGGGGCTTAAGAAAATATTATAGAGCTAATCAATCCTAATAAAGTGTTTGATAAAATGACTAAATCAAAACGCTTGTATTTTTTCTTCTTAATAAAACCTGGCAAATGTCCCCCGACATTTGCCCCACCCCCCCCCCCCCCCCCCCCCCTCAAAAAAAAGACTAAATCAAAACACCTATAATGTCTTCTAGATTTGAAATGGGATGTAAGATTACATTGACACTTAAAAACTAAAAGGTTTTTTGGCTACATACTTTGTTTGATTTTTGAAAATTTGTCTGGTTCTAAAATAGTGTTAATTTTTGATGAATATTTCCCCCGTTGGGTGCCTGTGGGTCTAGTAGGACGGGGCGGGGTATGGGGCGGGTCGAATAGTAGTGGGGGATGGGGTGGGGGCGGGGTGATTTTTTAGACACAGGGCGGGGATGAGGGAGAGAACCCCCGCCCCTACCCCGCCCCATTGCCACCCCTAATCCAGATGATGGCTTTTGGCCGAAGATGACTGGCTCCTTCGAAAAGGCCGATGGACTTCACCTGGGTGTGCCTGCTGAGGCCGAAGGTTGTTCCTCTTCTTATAGCCTTATGCTTTGTTTATCCTTATTCCTTTTAGCTAATTTGGTTCCCTTGTTTTGCAGGATTCAGTATGAATCGGATGTCATTCGTGGCTCAAGCCGCCAAGAAGGTTGAGGCGGAGCTGAAGGCCGCCGAGGGCTCCAAGAATGCGGGCGAGGGCCCTTCTGATGTTGCGAAGAAGCTGGCAGCCTCCAAGAAGAAAAAGAGGAGCGTTGTTGTTGATGAAGGCCAAAAAATGTTGGTCGAGGCCGAGCTCCAGCCCTCCAAGTCCACCAAGAGGCCGAAGAAAGCTTCTTCCGGTGCTAGTGCTGATGCTGTCCAAACTGTGGACGAGGGAGGCCATGCCGCTGATGTTGTGGTGGTAGAGGACCTTACTGAGGGTCTCTCATTAGCTCCACTTTCTCAACCCCCTCCTCTCAACATTGAAGCCCCTCCTAGTAAAACTGGCTCTGACCGAGAGGTGGTGAGAGGGTTATACGGCATCGTGGTCCGCTACCCGCTGAGGAGCGGTGTTTTTAATGAGATCATGAGCGGCAATGAAGTGATTTCCCAGGACATCCCCGAAGAAACTGGGTGTACCTTCCATACTGATTTATTCTCATCCTAACCATGTTCATGCTTCGTCTAGGGTGCCCTTATGCTGATGGAGCGCCAGAGAAGACAGGAAGCAGAGATTACATGCTTGAGGCAGCTCAAGCAAAAAGTTGGTTCGGTCGATGAGGCTTTAAAGAACCTAGAGCAGCTGCGGCTCGAGTTGGACGCCTTGAGGAAAAAAGCCGAGGCCGTTGAGGCAGAGAGGATCGGAAAGAGCTGCAGTCCAAGTTGGACGAAGAGGTAGCAGCTCAGCAGAAGGCCGATGAGGCGGCACTCCAAGCAGCGAAACGAGCTGCCGAAGCTGAGCGGCTGAAAGCTTAAGCCGATGTGGCCGCTGATAGGGCCATTGACACCTTTATGAAGACCGGCGGCCCTGGTGTTATGAGGTCATGGCAGCCATGCTGGAGGACTGGACAACGAATAATCCCGCTGGCCAGGAGTTTTGGCAGAGGGAGATGAAAGTCTTTTTTGACTTGGGCCAGTATTGCATGAAAAGGCTTATTTATAGGAGGCTCCGTCATCGGTTCCACTAGATGAAGCCTCTCGGTCTGAACCTTCTTCCTCGTATGAAAAATCCTGAAGCCGAGCTTGAATTGCCTTTGGAGTAGAGGCAGATTCCCATCATCAGCTCTGTCATTGATGAAGAGCCCTGGAGCGATAGTGAGCTCTTAGAGGATACGGCTGCGTCTAAGGCTACAGATGAGGAAGATGCCGAAGGCGAAGCTGATGAGGAAGACAGTGAGGGAGCTGATTAGGAGACTTAGTTCTTTTTATTTCCCCTTTTGTTTGCATGTAAGCGCTATGTAGTAATTCTAGAGGCCGTAGTGCCCTGCAATTGTAACAACCAATGTGTCCTCATTTTGTACTTAGAAAAAATTCTTAATGAAATTATCGTTCGTCATCTGATATGTGTTATGCTTCGTCTTTGCTATTTCTGCTCTTACATCGACCCCACTCTCTTTTCCTTATTTCGTGCTTTTATACTTAGAACATTTTCCAGAGTACAAATTGCTCTCCCTCGGCTAGAATGTGACATTTCTTCGTGCTTTAGAATGGCTTAAGTATTTTGGTCTGTTTACCTATGGCATTTCCCCTAGCCGAAGGGATGCCGCCATGTATTGTTCAAACTCACCAAGTCCTTTTTGCGCATCATAATTAATATCTGAAGTGGCTTGGTCGATGGGGCGCTTGCTTTGTGTGTGGCCTCTCTTAGGCTTTCTTGATTCAGGGGGGTGGATGCCTTCGGTTAAAGAGTTCGTTCCTTCATGTTTTGTAGATTGTTTCCCATACTTAGAACTTTTCAAGTGTAGGGATAATTGTTTGGCCGATGAAGGCGTGTTGTGCTTCAGATTAGAATAGGGATTTGCTTTGGCCAATAATGTGTGCATTTCTCTTTTCTCGGCTTGAGCATTGCCATGGTTTGTACTTTGAATTTTTCTAAGTTCTTGACCCTGTTTATCAGTCGTTACGTCTAGTAGCGTCTAGCGTAGTATGGCTGTTGAGGTGTACCTCTTCGGCTAGGCTTGATATCGTTCTCAAGTCGTTGATCTTTGTAGAATTTGTCTAAGTCCATGTTTGCACCTTTATGGTCTTGCTTCGTCCATGAGGTATGGAATCTGCCTGGTATGTACTTAGCCAATATAGGTGGCTTGATTTGTGAGGATCTTCTTTATTGCTCGAGGTCGGCGAGTGCGCGGTCTGTCGACTTCCCTCTTTTTTTTGGACTACCTCTTTACTTCTTCGAGCGAGGAGTGCAGCATGTTTTACAGGTGGGGCCTGTTTTACAGGTGGGGCCGTGGGTGCTATTCCCTCGGTCGATGGGGATTCTCAGAGGGGGTTGTTGGTCCCTCTGTTAAATGGGACCGTCCCGGATCTTTGGGTGTTTCCTCATCTTTTTATGACGTGGGACCAGACTTTTGGTCAGTTTCTGACGGCTATCGTTTTTTGTCCCCTTAGAAATGACCCCAAGTGTGGATTTTGTCACCTCGACCTTCTTTCATGCTTGTTGTTCTGCGTATTTTGCGAGGACGACGCGGTAAGCTTCTCATTTCAAGACTTGGGCCATATTTCAGGCCTTCCGTCTTAGACATCATCGGCCATTCCCGGGTGATTTACCTCGAAGGGGACGATACGATGCTTGGGTTTTGTGTGGCATCCTTTACTTAAACTTCACAAGATAAGCAGAACACAATGTTTTATTAATATAAGTGGCTCGAGGCTGAGGGTGGTAATCTAGCAATAACCCGCAAAGGAGTTAGCTTTTAAATAAGCTTTTGACCTCGGGGTGGAGGCTTTGCCCGTCTACACCGCCTTCGGATTATTGGTAGAACTTCACCATATGGTGTACATTCCACGATCGTGGTACTTCTGACCCATTAGGGTGTTTGAGTTTGTACGTGCCAGCTTTGATCACAACATTGATGATGTAGGGCCCTTCGTACTTCAGGGCTAGTTTGCCTCCTTTCATCGGCTTTCTGGCCTCCCTTCGGCGAAGGACATAGTCCCCTACTTGAAATTCTCGGGAGCGAACCTTAGCATCGTAGTATGATTTAATTTGGCGTCTGTAGTTTTCAGCCCAGATGTAAGCTTGCTCGCGCCTTTCATCGACGAGGTGTAAGTCGATCCTCATGTTCTCTTCATTGGCTTCGGGGTCATATTATTCGACCCAATGGCTGGGTAATGTGACCTCTGAAGGTGCCTTTGCTTCGAAGCCGTAGCATAGGGCGAATGGTGTTTCGTCAGTTGCTCTCCTAAGCGTAGTTAGATAGGACCATAAGATGTTTTGGAGCTCGTCGGCCCAACTCCCTCCTTCGCCCTCAAGCTTCTTCTTCAAGCTCTCCAGGATAGTTCTATTGGCGTTCTCAACTTGTCTGTTCCCTTGAGGATAGGCCACGGAGGAGAAACAATGCATGATGCCCCATGCCAGGAGGAGTTCTTGGAATGGTGCAGCCTTGAACTGGGTGTCGTTGTCTAGTATGATCTCTTGAGGGACGCCAAAGCGACTAAGGATGTTTTTGAGGACGAACTTCCGGCACCGCGCTTTGGTGATGCTCGCCAACGGTTCTGCTTCAATCCATTTGGTGAAGTAGTATATGGCGAC